CGCCCAGCGCCCGACGCGTCCCGCCTGCGATCCGCACACCTTCCAGCGACCCGCGCCCGACGCGCACGACGCCCGCTGCAACCCGATGACCGATACCCGCGAACTGTTCAACAGAGGACCGTTTGACGAGTTGATTAGAATCAACTAAAGGCCAAACCTATCCGCCCATTAGGTTGTGGTGTTCAGAAGAACTTCACCAACGGTACTCTAAATCGTCTCAGAGTCGGCAAAAAAAAATTTAAAAGGTAAATGTCCATATCCTAACTATAGATTCCGCTGCGTTAGGATTTATTTCGATAAAGTTCAATACTGTGCATGTTGTTTGACGTTCCTAACATCAGCACGGTCCTCATAAGGGAAGAAGAGACAGGCCAACACCCAATCTACTACGTGAGTAAGGCGTTGCATGACGCCGAGCTCAGATATCTGCCGATGGAGAAGTTGGCCTATGCCCTCGTCATCGCGTCCAGGAAACTCCGACCTTACTTCCAAGAACACTCGATCTATGTCCTAACAGCCTATCTGCTAAGGCAAGTCCTACATAGACCCGACACTTCGGGGCGAATGATCAAATGGGTCGTGGAGTTGGGACAATTCGATATACATTACAAGCCTCGCAGTGCCATCAAAGGACAGGTGTTGTCAGATTTTATCACCGAGTTTACCCCCGTTATCCGAGAGGCCGTCGACAACCGACCTTGAGTGATGTACGTTGACGGGTCATCCACAGCGAGCAGGGCCGGGGGAGGTGTGGTCTTGATCGATCCAGAACAATGAGTATATTGCCACTCAATTCAATTTCTCTTTCTGGCCACCAACAACGAGGCCGAATACGAGGCCTTGCTGTCCGGCCTGGGCCTTGCCGAAGCCATGAACTTAACCCACCTGAACGTCTTCTCGGACTCCCAATTACTCATCAACCAAATCCTCGGCAGTTACGAGGTGAAAGAACCTCGGTTAGTACCATATCTGGCATTGGTTAAACAACAGATGGCAAAGTTCACAGCCAAAATCGAGCACATCCCGAGGACGTCGAACGTGCAAGCAGACGCCCTTTCACACCTCGCTTCCAGCGCGAATATGGAGGA